AAATATATTAAAAAATTATTGTTTTGTGATTTTTGATTTTATAATACCAAATAATTTTAATTAAGTTTACATCCCTATTATCAACCCTCGTATATATCAACACAATTGTTTAATCCAAGTGAGTTGACATTAACGAGAGTTGACTGTATAAGGTAATTAACTTGAGTTATTATACTATTATGATTATTAGTTTTTTTTTTTTAAAAAAAAAAGCAAACTGGTAAACATTACCCCAAGTTCTACGATCCATAGGACATTGTCCACGACTACCTTCTGTTTGAAGCCATCTTAATAAACAGTGCATATGAAACACGTGCGTACATTCACCCCATACTGTGAATTATATTGGCACATTTTTAATTATTATTATGACAAAAAAATTAAATGTAAAAGAAACAAAGGAATGTCTTTCTTAACTGAGTGGACAATCATCCCCTGGAGTCTTGCAAGTAGGACAGCAACCGTCAAAATGGACGCGACAAATGCCACAAACTTCTTCGTTAGGCACATCCCATCGCCAAACTGCTACACCATTCCAACTGAAGTAAATAGACGACATGTAAATTATATTATTCTTTAAAACTCAATCTGAAATAGATAAATACCCTTTGATTTTTACTTTCATGGTTTATTGCTAAAACATGAATTCTTGATGAGTTTAAATCTTATCATGTACGCATTACCCACCTTTTCTATTGGCTGCACTGTGACGATCCTTTTTTTAAATTTTGGTAAAACATCGATTATCTAGTAAATCTGTCTGACTTCTATTGGCGGCAGCCCATATAATCAAACGATCTAGTTGTTTGAATAATTTTTGGACGCTTAAAAAAAAAAATGGGGTTGATCTCATTGTCGAATTCGTTAAATTTGATTCGACAGAATATTCCAAAGGTATATATGTAAGTGATTCATTCAGTGATAAGATTAACAAAGGAGCATTTAAATTTCATTTTAAGCTTATCAACTGGAAAATAATTTAGCTGTCTAGAGGTTTCGCCTCGCAAACATCGGTTAAGGTAAAAATTCTCAATAAACTATTTATGAAAACGACATGTTTTTATATTATCGTTGATTTTATAGGTTCCCATAACCCTTCACGGCATTGATGGTCGATATGCTACAGCTCTATTTTCAGCAGCTTCCAAAACGAATAATCTTAATAACGTTGAGTCTGAACTTAAGCAAGTCAAAACAGCGATTAAAAAAGATGCCAAACTTAACAATTTTCTCGAAGATCCTTCTTTAAATCGTAATCAGAAGAAATTAGGCGTTCAAGAATTGTTGAAGCAAGGAAAATATTGTGATACTACAAAGAACTTCTTTCAGGTTTTGGCAGAGAACGGAAGGCTTAATGAGACTATAAAAATTATTGACGCATATACATCATTGATGGCAGCTCATCGTGGAGAGATTCATGTCACAATAATCACCGCAAAGGTTTGTCCTTTCAAATTTGTTGTGCATATATTCAGTATATTTATTTTTGTTATTATAGGAACTTGATCCCAAACTTTCGGATAAACTCAAAGCTTCACTTAGCAAGAGCAAATTCGTGAAGCCGAATCAAACACTTCGAATTGAAAACAAAGTGCGTTATTGTCTAATCTATATGATTAACCACATATTTAACAATTTTTACTAACTATTATACTTTTTTTAAAAAAATCAACCCATTGTGTCTTA